AGTCCAGATGTACTTTTTATAGTCCAGGTGTACTTTCTATAGTCCAGATGTACTTTCTATAATCCAGATGTACTTTCTATAGTCCAGATGTACTTTTTATAGGAGGAAAGACAAAAATCATGTTAAGATAGAAATAATTACAAACACAAACAGGAAGAGTAGAGCAAGTAAAGACAGCAGCAGAGACAGGACATGTGGTCAGTTTGTCCTCCAGCAGTCTGTCTATAGCAGCAGAACTAAGGGACAGCTCAGGAAACCCAAGCCAACCCTAACTATAGGATTTATCTGGACTGTACTTATATAGCGCCTTTCTATCTGATCAAGATACTCAAAGCGTTTTACTCTACAATCTGTGTCCTCATTTACCCATTCATACAGCACTCTACTAGATCTCTACAAAGTTGATTGAACAAATCATTCTAAAGAGACTAATCAGAGCTTTATCACGTTAATACACTGATGGGACACACATCGGAGGCAACGAGGGGTTCAGTGTCTTGCCCAGGGACACTTCGTCATGTGATTGATGGTGGATTTGAACCCTCAACTCTTGCATTGGAGGACGACTGCTCTAACCACTCAGCCACAGCTGCCCCCAAATCAAAAAAGGAAAGTCTCAAGCCCAGACTTAAAACTGGACAATGTGTCAGCCTCATGAACAGAAACTGGACGTTGGTTCCACAAGAGAGGAGCCTGAGAACTGAAAGATCCCATTCTGCTTTTGGAAACTCTAGGAATCACAAATAAACCTGCATTCTGAGAGTGAAATGCTCCTTCTCTGTCTCTGCCTTCCATGTCAGGTGACGCTGGATGGTCATGATATCAGAGGTCTGAACATCCAATGGCTGCGCTCCCTGATTGGCATAGTGGAGCAGGAACCCGTGCTGTTTGCCACCACCATCGCAGAGAACATCCGTTACGGCCGACCTGGGGTCTCCATGGATGATATCATTATGGCTGCGAAGGAGGCAAACGCTTACAACTTCATCATGGACCTTCCACAGGTACAGAGGCACAGAGGAGCATTTATTTAAAACAAGTCTAGAAAGTTCAGCCACAGATGAAATGTTCTTATACCTGACAGAAATTCAACACACTGGTGGGGGAGGGTGGGGGCCAGATGAGCGGAGGGCAGAAGCAGCGTATTGCCATTGCTCGAGCGTTGGTCAGGAACCCTCGGATATTACTGCTGGACATGGCCACCTCTGCCCTGGACAACGAGAGTGAAGCTATTGTTCAAGAGGCCTTGGATAAAGTACGTCACACAACTTCATGGGCCAAATTCTCTGTGGATGTTCATGTTCACAACCAACAGAGTCTTGATGTGAAATCACAGATTATAGTGACCAGAATAAATATCCATGAACCATTTTGGGTTTCTTCACAGGTACGCATGGGTCGCACCACCATCTCCATCGCTCACCGGCTTTCAACCATAAAGAACGCCGATGTGATTGTAGGCTTTGAGCATGGCCGGGCTGTGGAGAGGGGCAAGCACCATGAACTGTTGGAGAGGAAAGGCGTGTACTTCACTCTTGTCACCCTGCAGAGCCAGGGAGACAAGGCTCTGAACGAGAAAGCCCGTCAAAGTGAGTCCAGTACCTTAAGATGGATCATTTTACCAAACCTTCTGTTAACACCAACAGATTATCACTCATTTAACGTTGAGTAGGTTCCATTCTTGCTGCCAAAGCAGCCCCAATGTTTTAAGGCAAGTAGTCCAAAGCTGGTTCTTGACCTCAAGCCATCTGCAAGATCCTTAAAAGCCTTGAAGGTTGGGATGCGGGGCCTCCATGGATTGGACATTTTATTCTGGTCCATTTGACTGATGCTTGACTTGGTTGAGATCTGGATAACTTAGAAGCCTAGCTAGCATGTCAAACTTACAGTTTCTCACAACTATTCTTGAACCACTGACATGGACACAGGTCAGCAAGTACAGTGAAGTAGATGTCCAAACAGTATCCACATGGAAGGCATAACTTCCAGAATAACATTGTTAAGACGTTGGTTAACTGTGTTGTGGCGTTCCGTCCCATCTGCACAGGTCAGTAATAACCTCCTGACTGGTCTTCTGCTACAACACACAACAAACTGTGTGAGTTTGTGACTGAACACATTGTTTTCTTCTAAACTAGGAGCTTTTTCATCAATCTGAGTTCCAGAAGCTCTTCTGTTAGAGCAACATGGCATGGATTGCTCCCCACGAGCATCAAAGATGACCCATAAACAGTTTTTTGTTTGTAAGACCATTGTTGGTTGATCCTGACAGAAAAAATCTGCTTCACTAAAGTCGTTTACTCAAACAAAGAACCACAAACTCACGGCAGATGAAGAGTTTTAAATGCCTGCAAGGGTGCATGAGGACAGAGTACACAGACAGTGTCACAGAATAAACCCAGAAAATGGTCTTCTGTTGGCTTTTATGACTTCATCAGAGCACACGAACATCAGTGGGTGTTTCCGTTTCACGTCTGCACAGATGAGACGCCGCGAGTCGGTCTCCACGCCGAGATAACGAGCTCGTTATGAGACAGCAGAGCAGGAAGGTGTCAGACACAACATAAAAACATCCGTAACCCATGACATAAAGTGTTTTCCAACCCTGACCTCAAAGTCCTGGAACGTTCCACAGGAGCTGGTACTGTGGAGAACAGGCGACACCCATCTGCAGTGATCGAATTGGGCCGAGGCAACAGAAAATATACATCTATACACATCAACACCAGTCCAGATTTTTACTGAGAGGTTACAGACGCGACACAACCTGCACGAAAGCCAAGTTCAATCACTTCATCTTCAGGACTCCCAGCACGAGCTGAACACCTCGACCCGCCCTGAGCAGAGCGGTAAACGGGGGAAATAGTTCAGTTTTCCTGATTCTCAGTGGTTGCACCATAAACACACAACATTTGCACCTTTGCACATTTTCACTGTAACACATTTGATGGGAAACCATCAATCTCATGGGCTGTCTCCAGCGACGCAACCAACTAACAGACTCTTGGGGAGCTTCTGGATTTCCCTTTAACCAAGGCAGCGGATTCAAATAATATATATATTATATATTAACACCATGGTTACAGTAGGAACTGCAGACTGGAGATTGTCTACCTTTGGTGAAGTGCATACCTTGCATCATTGATACCGCTCGACGTTCTCACAAATTTCAGTTAATATTTACAGTTTAGTCTTTGTTAAAGTGCTTCAATTAACTTATTTCTTCTTTTTTTAATTTCTAATCATTTGAAATATTGTCCACTTTGTCCCACCCCCTGTAATAAGGTGACAGAGTTTGTTGACGGCCATCGGCTGGTCAGTGGACGTTCTGTTGTCTTGTTATATGCTGACGACTGGTTGCTGTTGGTTGTCTTGTCTTAGTGGCTGACGATAAAGAAGAGGAGCCGGAGAGGCTAAATCTTTCCAGAGCAGGCAGCTATCGGGCCAGTTTGAGGTATCGTACAAACACATTCTTCATCACCTCCGTTTTTTTTACTTGTCTGTTCGTTCATTTACCCAGCCCCGACTTTCTGTTGTTGAAGTCTTCTTGTGTTAGAGAGGCCACTGTTATCATATTACATCCTATAATTACCGGGACCTTTGGAGCTGACACGGTCGTCCTGAGCTCTTAAAAATGAATCAGAGAAGCCGACGAACTCAGTGATGGTTCAGCCACGTCAACGCTGTCCCACTGATCCATCGTGCAGCGAGCCTGAATCAAACGCTCATATCTATTCACATGTAGATGTGCAGAAACCTTTTGTTTTGTGCAGAGCCTCAATCCGCCAGCGGTCACGTTCTCAGCTGTCCAATCTAGTTCCAGAGTCCTCTGTTCCCATCGCCGGAGATCTGGGACCCAGAGTCTTCTCAGTGTCTCAAGACGATAACTATAAGGTGGGTGGAGGCGTCTCTGTACCCAGTTTTACTCTGAAATCACTGTACGATCACTCAACACAAGCATGAATGTTGTATTAATTAGTAATAAATGACTGATTTGGAACAACAGAACACAAAAAAATTTTCAAAACAAAGTTGGATGCACAAATTAAAATTTATTTAGGATTTCTTTAATCCACAGTGTCAGACTTTTTCACAGGCTCAGATATACACGTAACCTGACAAATGTTTGGTTCTGCGTCTCGTAGAAAGTGGCGCCTCGGGTTTTTGGTTTCTGTCAATGAGCTTCTGGTGGAGTTCTGACTGGATGCTGGACCGGTCTTCTTGAAAGAACTCGTAAAGTTATTTTCAATTGGTTGACTCCAGTTTTAAGTCCAGTTTATAAATTTTCAGTTGAGTTGAAGTCGGAGTTTTGATGTTAGCCTGATTAATCCAATCAGAAACCGGTTCTGATGTGTCTGGGTTCTTTGTCCTGTCGGACCCAACCGGACAAGCTTCCAAAATTTCATCTGTTGAGTTGAGGTGAAGTTGAAGTTGTCTTATTTTCACGACTTCATCCTATTTGTGCATTGCAGCACCAAAGCATGACACTCCCACCACCATGCCTGGCAGGTGGTACAGAGTTCTGAGGTTGTAAAACCTCATGTTGAGTCCTCCAAACATAACTTTTGTCTTTGTGGTCAAGCAGATTGATCCTTGCACTGTCTGACCATAAATAATTATCCAAAAGACTTCCAGCTTGTCCATCAAGCTTAAAGGTGTCCCTTCAAGGCAGAGCTTTCTTCTTGGCCCTCACAGTCCACAATGATATAAAGCTGACTTCATTACAGACAGGGACACTGGTGGACAGGGACACTGGTGGACTGGGTCACAGGTGGACAGGGTCACAGGTGGACAGGGTCACTGGTGGACAGGGTCACAGGTGGACAGGGTCACAGGTGGACAGGGTCACTGGTGGACAGGGTCACAGGTGGACAGGGTCACTGGTGGACAGGGACGCTGGTGGACAGGGTCACTGGTGGGCAGAATCACTTGTAGACAGGGACACTGGTGGACAGGGTCACTGGTCTTCAAACAGGTTCCACTTCATGGTGGACATGAGTCTTGGTGGCTCCTGGGTGGTTCTTGAACATATTGACCAACTTTCTCTAATCTGAGGGGTACAGATGAGGACTAGTTAATCTAACGATTCAAAGATTCAGAGATATTTGTCATTTGCATCTGTGGTTAGGGTTAGGGTTAATGAGTGTTGCCAAATGAAAAGTTTTGATGCTGGCAAAGAGAAACCACCAGATTCAGTCAATCTTGGTCACTTTCTAGATGTGAACAGACCTCAGCATAATAACATGCATTTGAGAACCTTCAGCACCATAAACTGAATGTTTAGGAACTTATGAAAGAGCATAATCAAGCATTTATTGAGGAGTACAGTAAATCCTCAAACTCAAATTGTGCGTTCTGTTCTTGTTTTAAAACCACTGAAGTTGTTGATCGTATTATAATTTGATGCTGGACAAGGACTGGTTCAGATCCCTCGTTGAAACCCAAACCAGTGTGACATGATGGAAGTTTATGACTGCAGTTGGATTTAATTCGTGTCTTCATCCATCCACTGACTGAACACAGATTATAACTTCTAATGATTCCTGTTGGTGCAGAAAGCCACACCAGAGGAGGAAGACGAAGAACCTGTCGAACCAGCTCCGGTTGCCAGAATTTTGAAGTACAACTTACCGGAGTGGCCCTACATGCTGGTTGGGTCGGTTGGGGCTGCGATCAACGGAGGCGTCAACCCTGTTTACGCCCTGCTATTCAGTCAGATCCTGGCAGTGAGGCTCGAGTTCTGTGTTCAGATTAACAGGGCCTCTTTGGTCCAACAGTAAAAGTCAAATTAAATGTTTTATTTCTTTACACATAGAAATGTTGCATTTCACTTAATGTCTTTTTCTTGTTCATAGACCTTTGCTATAGTAGATCCCGTGACTCAGAGGAAAGAGATTGATGGGATCTGTGTGTTCTTCGTCATGGTTGGCGTCGTCTCTTTTTTCACTCAGATGATTCAGGTAGAGTCCGAGTTTTGACAAGATGGGTTTCTTTAATGCTTCTCTGCTGCTTTCAGCTTCAGGTTGAAGGAAAATCACAAGAGACCTCCTTGTATCGGTAAATGTATACCTTCAACCAGTAAAATGTTTCTTTACCTCCTACAGGAACAGTCTGGTCGCGAATTAAAACCTCCACTTTCAGAGATTCTGAATATATTCAGTGAGTAATCGCTGTGAGAATATTTAGGATTGAATAATGTGTGCTTGTGTCAACAGGGTTATGCCTTCGCCAAATCTGGAGAGCTGCTGACTCGCAGGTTACGGCGGATAGGATTTCAGGCCATGCTAGGCCAGGAGATCGGCTGGTTTGACGACCACAGGAACAGCCCCGGCGCTTTGACCACACGTCTGGCAACCGATGCCTCGCAGGTCCAAGGGGTGCGTTAACGCTCCAAAAAGCAACCAGTCTGTTGCAGAAGTCAATCGTTGACATCTTTGAGTTTTTACCAGACTTGTTTTTGGTCTTCTGTAAAGGCTACAGGTTCTCAGATTGGCATGATCGTCAACTCATTGACCAACATCGGCGTGGCTGTTATCATGTCCTTCTACTTCAGCTGGAAGCTCACGCTGCTCATCCTCTGTTTCCTGCCGTTCATTGCTCTGTCAGGTGGCTTCCAGGCCAAGATGCTCACGGGTTTTGCCAAGCAGGACAAACAGGCCATGGAAGCTGCCGGCCAGGTCCAACCACACAGTTTCTTTCCACGAGTCTTCAAACCAGTCTTCTTGATGCTAATGGTGTTAAAGTCATAAGGCTAAATCCGCTGCTGTGGGCTGAGGAGCCTTTTTTCCAGCTGTTACAGTAAATTGGTTATTGGTAACAGGAGTTAAGACTGTCTGACTCCAACTGATGGGATTGAAGGGATGGCTGGATAAAACGACACCAATAGTCAGAATGTTCACAATCAAAGGAAAAGTGTTGAAATGTCAATTTAGTATGAACTTTCTTGGGCTGTTGTCTTAATTATGCTGATGCAGTAAACTCCACCGTCCAAGTAAATGGGATTAGTTGAAGATTTAATGATCCCTGTTGTGGAAAATTGGCTTCCTGGAGCAGTATAAAACAGGATATTGATAAGAACAGGTCAACCATGTTATCTCTGTCCCATCTCTCTTACACATTAAAAGGCAGATTAATTAGAAATAACCGCTTTCCTCTCCGAGCCATTAATCTCAGCTTGGGTCTTCTGTCTGCAGGTTTCTGGCGAGGCCCTGAACAACATTCGTACCATTGCTGGTCTGGGGAAGGAGAGGAGCTTTGTGGACACCTACGAGGCCCACTTGGATTCTCCGTATCGAGCAGCCCTGAAGAAGGCGAATGTGTACGGGGCTTGTTATGGTTTTGCTCAGTGTGTGGTCTTCTTGACCAACGGTGCTTCCTTCAGGTTTGGAGGTTACTTGGTGGAACAGGAGGGGCTCCATTTCAGCCTGGTGTTCAGGTGAGAACATGAAGTTTTAAGGTGCGGTGCTCTCTGGTGTTTTTGATGCTGTCTATACTGATCTGTTCATGCTTAAAAACAGTAGTTCTCAGTTTATTAAACCGTGCCCACCTCAAAGGACATTATCTTCCTAGTTATAGTACCACCACTAGGACCATCCATCCATCATCCATCCATCCACCCACACCCTCCAGCTCTTCTTGTGGGATCCCAAGGCATTCCCAGTCCAGAGAGGGTATACACAGTATTATCTCTAGAGAGGGTCTGCCCCAGGGTCTCCTTCCAGTGGGACATGACCACAAAACCTTCAACAATAGATACACAGGATCTGTTTTAATTAGATGGTCAAACCACCTCAGCTCATTTCTTTTATAAATGGAGGAGCAGCAGCTCCACTCCATGCTCCTCACACGATCTGAAAAAAGTTGAGCCTGACCACACTATGGAGGAAACTCATTTTAGCTGCTTGTCTCCAGGATCTTGCTCTTTTGGTTGTGATCCATATATCATGACTACAGATGAAGGTTGGAATGGACTGTGGCATCTTTACTGTGGAGAAGGCCACGATGTGGATCAGAGACACCATTCTCTGGTGAATTGGTTCTTTTGACCAGTCTAAAAGGGTCTGTAAGAACTTGTTAAGGCCGACCAAGTATGCAACAATAAACCTCTTAACCAAACAGTCAAACTGGAGCACATCTGACCCAGGGATATGTATGACCACAACTACCAAGGTGTCAAAATTAGTTCCAGATTATTTGCAGAGTCCATACAAAAGCATTGAACTGTTAGCTAAAGTTCCAGAGGTAGTTTGTGTACCACCAGGGGTACAGTTTGGGAACTGTAAAGAATATTTACAGTAAAATGACTACATTTGTCATTCTCAAGGTTTTGTCAGTCTAAAAAGGTCCAACAAAAACATCATGCTTGCTTTGCTCAGGGAACATCCATGTTCAGACATTTCACAACCCAGAATGACAAATTGTGTCTCAATCAAGCGCTCGTTGTCTCAACGGATGAAACGATCTCTGAGAAGTGTCACTGGATGAATAAAAAAGATTATTTGCTAGAGGAGCTGTTCCAACACGTTTCTGTTTGTGTCAGGGTCATCTCAGCCATCGTCACCAGCGGCACAGCTCTCGGCAGAGCCTCATCTTACACTCCAGATTACGCCAAGGCCAAGATATCCGCAGCACGTTTCTTCCAGCTGCTCGACCGTGTGCCACCAATCAGTGTCTACAGTGACAAAGGGCAAAAATGGGTTTGGACAAACGTTTTCTGATAAGTGGGAAATCCAACGTGCATTTTATAGACCGTTGGTCTAACCTCCGTCCTCCTTGTTCATGTCCCTCCCCCCTCATGTTTTCAGGACAACTTTCAGGGGAACATCGAGTTCATCGACTGTAAGTTCACCTACCCCACCCGACCAGACATCCAGGTTCTGAACGGCCTGAACGTTTCTGTGAAGCCCGGCCAGACGTTGGCCTTCGTGGGCAGCAGCGGCTGTGGGAAGAGCACCAGCGTTCAGCTGCTGGAGCGCTTCTATGACCCTGATCATGGCCGAGTGGTGAGGGAACCAAACAAAACACGAGATAAGCCAATAAATAGTCCTTTGTACTGGAAATGGACCAATGTTGAGTTCAGAGGCAGCAGGGATAGGCGGATATTGATTGTTTTAAAATAATTCTTTAAGGTAGAAAATTTTGATTTCAAACAGCTGAAAAAAAAGATTTGTCAGGATACATCTTCAAAACTTTTCTTTTAGTGAAACCAATTTTTAGGAATACCTCAATGTGTTTTTGTAATACTCAGTTTGGCCACATGGGGGTGTAGTGAGCCTCCACATCGCTCCAGAGGGCCAAATCAAGATAATTAGAGCAATTGAAGGGCCGCTCAGAGAAAATTTTTTTTTTTGAGACCGATAATCTGGAAAAGGTTTTCAGCTTTTGTCTTGTTGTAGCAAAGTTAACATGCTTGATAAAAATATGTCTCCCAAAATTCAATTATCCATCCATCCATCCATCCATCCATCCATGCATCCATACATACATATATATGTATATACAGTATACATGTATAAGTGTTAGACAATTCAGTTCAATTCAGTTTATTTATAAAGCATCAAATCACAACAAAGTTGTCTCAGGGCACTTTACAGGAACATTCACATAAAAGCCAATTAGTAAAGTTCTCTATCTAAGGAATCCAGCAGACAAGTTGAATCTTGGCTTTGTTGCAGTCTCCCATAATAGACCTTTTTGAGGATGTGGTGCTGGAAACACTTTGTTTATGGGTGAGGTGTTTCTGCTGGCTACGTCTTCAAGCTTTAGAAAAAGGTGCTCCATCTGAACAGAGGTCGTCCTCTGTGCCAGGGAAGGACGCCTGCCAAGACTCCAACGCTGCTAATAACAATGAAATGGGCTGGAAATGGGTCGGCCCGACTGAGACCAGAATCACCTCTGCAGTCAGGAGATGACAGACGAGAGCTCATTAAGTGAATTGTATTTCCCGTCTGTGATGATCAGCCTCTACGTTTCTCCCTCCTCAGCTGATCGATGGCCAGGACTCGACTCGCGTCAACGTCCCCTACCTTCGCTCAAAGATCGGCATCGTGTCCCAGGAGCCCGTGTTGTTCGACTGCAGCATCGCCGACAACATCAAGTACGGTGACAACTGTCGGGAAATCAGCATGAACGAGGTCATCTCCGCCGCCAAGAAGGCCCAGCTTCACGACTTCGTGATGGCGCTCCCTGAGGTACCGCCGACGTTCTGTTTGAGGTTCTCAGCAGCAGATTCATAAAGTTACCCTGAATGATAAGTTCAGGAACAAGTTAGACAGTCAGCAGATCATGAACACCTGCCAGCTGCAGCAGATGTTCTGGAAACTGGCAGCAGACGTTTGGTCCATCAAGTTTCCTCAGTAGACCTCTAGTCCTGAGCTGCCGTGGACAGATCTGACCGAGGTGAAGCTGAGGACGCAGGTGGTGAAACTCTGAGTGTTGAATGGGAAGAACGCTTTTTTTGGTCCATGGAAGCATCAAGACTTGTTCTGTGACGCTCAGGACAAAGGTCAGAGCAGTGATGTCATGAAAACTAGGACCACCGTCTGAGGAGAAAGCCGTTTGTTCCTCAGAGCGACTCGAGCAGTAAAGCTGTCGGTTTGTTCTCCTCCCTCAGAAATACGACACCAACGTCGGCTCCCAGGGTTCCCAGCTGTCCCGCGGTCAGAAGCAGCGCATCGCCATCGCCAGAGCCATCATCCGAGACCCCAAGATCCTCCTCCTGGATGAGGCCACCTCGGCCCTGGACACCGAGAGCGAGAAGGTGCTTCAGCTGAGCTTTAGCTTCTCGGTGTTAATTATCATCACGGCTGTTATTTACACGAGCTGCGCCACGATCACAGCCGAACGTCCTTAAGACGAAGGCTGTCTGTGGCTCAAGCTCTGAGCTGCGGCGCCGATCCACCGATCCACAGCCACGCTCTGGCAGTAATCCACCCATGATGGTCTAATGGACATAACGGAGCTGCTTGTGTGTTTCGAGGTAGACCCTGCATGTAGAGTGTGTCCAACACGTGTGTGTCGTTGCAGACCGTGCAGGCGGCCCTGGACAAGGCCAGAGAGGGTCGCACGTGCATCGTCATCGCCCACCGCCTCTCCACCATCCAGAACTCGGACATCATCGCCGTCATGTCTCGCGGCTTCGTGATCGAGAAGGGACCCCACGACCAGCTGATGGCCCTGAAGGGCGCCTACTACAAGCTGGTCACTACAGGAGCGCCCATCAGCTAGCAGCTGCCGCTGAGCCACCGTCACGCCGACGGAGATCGAACGGACTGAAGACACGACAAACGCCACCTGGACACAGCTGAAGGGACAGAAGTGGAGCGTATTTATTTATGGTTGTAGCTGAAACAGCTGGAGCTGCTCGGTCTTTACCAACGATCATTAAACGTCAGAGGAACGAGAACGTTTGTGAAATGATTCGACTGTTTCTAGACACATTTTCATGAAGATTTTCAAAATAAAGTGACGTTCGCTGTGTTTTTTTACTGCATGTTTGTGTACTGCTTCATTACTTGTTTATTTACGGGAAGCCCCGTTACTGGACACTTAAAGTTTTTTTATTTTAGTTGGTGCCAACAAACATTTCAGTTGAAATAAATAAAGATGCTTATATGGTTTATCTTGTGATTTTTATGTAAATATATAACTAATCTATTCATTTAACCACATACCTGAGTGAGCGGCATGATTTAAAATTGAGCGCGACCCGAACCGAGCCTTTGGTCCAGCTCCTCGGCGGTCACTGAGCGGGCCAGACCACCGAGAAATGTCCCTGTGCTCCCGATGGCCACTCCGCCTCTTCAAGATATTTGTTCATGACTTTATCATTAGTAATCCTGAGAGTTACCGGATCCAAGCAAACATTTACCGGAACGCACCCGGTCAAAATAAGAGCCCTGCAGCAGGTTCAAAAACTCAAAGACGTGATCTAAAGCTCATCTTGTTTCATGTTTATTTTAATTTTCTCATTAAAGTTCCCATTAAAAAAATAAAAATCTGTATGCCTTTTTATAATTGTCCATTGTTGTCATCTTTCTTTGTTAAATCAGGTCTCTCTTGTAAAAGAGTCCTCGAGGCTCAGTGGGACTAACCTGCAGAAATAAAGGTTGAAGGAATGAAAAAATAAAAGTTCAACCTGCCGCCTGCTGACAAACAGGAGCCCTCGCTGAAAACTATTTACTTTGTGTCTTTCGTGGTCTCTGGATCAACTTTCCGAGTGTTTCCCATTAAATGTAACGTTTCTATAAGAACACAGTCAGACAATCATTAAGTCTGACGGCCATCTTCCTTATAGGCGACGTTTAGTGAAAGTGAAACTCAGTTTCATTTAACAAAGCCAGACTTTATTTTGCTGTTTTATCGTGTTTTCAGGTTGAATTCTTTTAAACATCTTGTAAAAAACGCAGAGCTGACATGACGGCGTGTTCAAGGCTACGACTGATTTGTTTTCCGGCAGCAGGGACCAGAATGAAACGTAACCATGGCAACAAATTGTGCTGCTGATCCTCTCCGTCCATATGTTTCACGAGGCAGCTGATGTGAGCGTGTTCACAGCTGCTCTCCCTCGGCTGAGCCAGAAGACTTAAAGTCTCGCAGCAAAATGAAAGTCGGAAAATATTCTCACTGAGACACGTGCGGGAACGAGATCATGGATTTATTTACTCTCCCTTTATTTACAATTCTGTTTCCTCTAAAGAAAAAACGTTTGTTACATTCAGTTTACTCTTTCTGCGTATAAATACTCCAGAGTACTCTTTCTGCGTATAAATA